CATCTCCACCACTGTGCCCAAAGCCATGGCCAATTCCGTCTGGGACACCAGGGCCATCACTTTCACAGGATGTGTGGCACAGGTTTTTATGCTTTTCTTTCTGCTTGGAGCAGAGTTTTCCCTTCTCACGGTCATGGCCTATGACCGCTACGTTGCCATCTGCCACCCCCTGCACTACGGGACCCTCCTGGGCAGCAGAGCTTGTGTCCACATGGCAGCAGCTGCCTGGGGCAGTGGGGTTCTCAGTGCTGGGTTGCACACAGCCAATACATTTTCAGTCCCCCTCTGCCAGGGAAATGCCATAAACCAGTTCTTCTGTGAAGTCCCCCACATCCTCAAGCTCTCCTGCTCACGCTCAGACTACCTCAGGGAAGTTGGGCTTCTTATATTCGGTTCTTTTTTAGGTTTTGGGTGTTTTTGTTTTCTTGTGTTGTCCTATGTGCAGATCTTCAGGGCCGTGCTGAGGATCCCATCAGAGCAGGGACGGCACAAAGCCTTTTCCACGTGCCTCCCTCACCTGGCTGTGGTCTCTATGTTCCTCAGCACTGGCATGTTTGCCTACTTCAAGCCCCCCTACATCTCCTCCCCATCTCTCGATCTGGAGGTGTCTGTGCTGTACTCAGTGCTGCCTCCAGCAGTGAACCCCCTCATCTACAGCATGAGGAGCAAGGAAATCAAGAATGCCTTGTGCCTAAGATTTTAATAGGATCTACTTCAGATTGATACGGCATCCATTGTCCCACTGGGTCCCCCACTATATCCCAAGACAACCAGGACTAAGGTTTCATCATTTGCACAATTAGTGTTCATTTTTTGTTTTGTGGGGGACTTTTGATTTCCTTCTTTGTGTTTTTCTTTTTTTTTTTTTGTTGGGTTTTTGTTGTTGTTGTTTCCACTGGTGATATTTTTTATCTTAGCCTCTTACCTTTTGTTTTTCATGACCTTATGACCGGAGTTAGGGATTTGGGCTCCCTGTTTAGATGAACTCAATTAAAAATCCAGCAGAAAATGAGTTGTCTTGTCTTCCACCTCTTCAACTCTTATCTCAAGTTGGGCAAGCTTCCCGAGCATGCAGGAGGGGTTCAGGAGGCAAATGCCCATCTGCCCCATGGAGGATCAGCCCTGGGGGCCCTTGGGGCTGCCCCTGGTTGCCTCGCTGGGCACCCTGTCTCTGCCGCCTGCGAGTCGGGGCTGCTGCTCCCCTGCAGCCATGGCCAAGGTGTTGGTGTCCCCTCACATTCACACTGTCCTGCTGTGCCCTCCCCTTTGTGTTACCCCTAAGGTCTCGTGTAACTTGTGACAGTCCCGTTGTCTCTGCAGTGGCATGCCTGTGGCTGCGGGCAGGAGCACACCATGTGAACCACGGTGTACGAGCTGCCCTCCGTGCTGGAAGCACCAGAACTAAAATGGCTCCTGAGCAGGGTCCAGAGGCATGACACCTTTTCCAAACTGCTCTATGAAACCCACCCAAAGAGTTGCTCCCTCAAAAGGATTTGTGCCCTTCTGGGGTTCCGCATGGGTTCATGGGGACCAACTCAGAGTCCCAGGGGGATCTGTGAGGGACCAAGGGCTGCGTGAAGACCTTCCTTCTTGCTTGCACATGTCCACTCAGACAGCAACAGGTCTTTCACTAATCTGCCCAGCGCTGTCCCACCTGCACTGGGGCTGATGGCAGATGCCATCCTGAAGAGGAACTGGGAGCTGCCAGGAGAGCTCAGGGGATCTGCAGGGACAGTGTGTGAGTCTGGGTGGGCCGTGAGCGGCACCTCATAATATGAGTGACCATTCAAGGTTATATCTTCCAGAAGAAAAAATACACCTGTAGAGCCCATGGGCAAAGGAGGCCCCCGCCATGCCACAGAGGCTGTGAGGAGCCAGCAGGCAAACGGACTTAAGGCTGGAGAGTGGATCAGGACATCCTCTTGGAAAGCCTCTTTGGCTGGATCTAGTGCAGCCCTGCCCTGCCCTTTGTGCCATTGGAGACAGCCCTTGGTCCTGCCCGGCCCTGTCCTCTCTTCCTGAACCCAGAGGGGAGATGGAAACGGGCTCAGCAGCACTCATCCCTTTCTGGCTGGGTCTGCTCCCCAGCCCAACCATCCATGGGCACGACAAAGCTCTTTCTGCAGGCACCCACTCGGGGCCGGCTGCTCTGTCCCTGGAGCAGGACTCTTGTGCTGGCCTGGGGAGAGGGGCTGGCACTGAGGGGGCAGAGGCACTCTGTGGTGGGCACCTCCTGGACCTGAGACCAGGGCTCCTGCAGTGTCACTCACCTCCATTCCTCTTGCCATGGGACACCTCCAGCCCTGAGGCTAAAGGGAAGGCTGAGCT